GTATTTGTTATTATTTTTCTTAATTTATTTTAAGTACGTCCTTTTATACTTACTTTTTTAATGTATTATATTATTGTATTTCTATACATACATATATTGTATTTTATTAATGTTACAGTTGTATCTATGTTTAGATTTTTTTCTAATAGTATTCACCTACATTAATCTATTGGAATATGTTGGCAGCCTCTGAGGGATTTCAAACTTGTAGAGTGCGTGTTCCTAGTCTAACACTCTACTGGTGCAGCCACCTGCACCATATAATGATCTGCTAGCCTTTTCTGAGTATTGAACCTGCTTGTCTGATCATAAACCTCAACCCAGAGGTTCCTACTTAACCTAATATCACATGACATGTTCTTATTTACTTCCGTGTCACGTGATGTTATAATTTATATAATTTCTTACACTGTAAAACCTCGTTTTTTAATATTTTGTGTACAAATAATGCTTCTGACTTCTATACTATATTTTAAACACTCTTATATTGACTTTTTATATTTTCCACATTTTTATTGAATTGTGTCCACTCCCATGACGCTGGTGACGTCATTTTGGCGGGAATTTCAATTTATCTGTGCAATTTTATGTTTTCTTATATAAGTGCTATATGTTAGGTCTGTTTTTCTCTTTTTATAAGTTTCTACTTGATGAAGCCTATTGTGGCGAAACGTGTATAGGAACTTTTTATATAATCTAAGTGTTAATAAAGGAATATTTGGCTATTATACATTTGGTTGCCACATTCCTCTTTCCACCTTAGTATTATATTACCTTCTTTTAGTATAATTGTATTATTTTACTATTTGCAAGTTTATTTTATTCAGACCTGACTACTACTACCTTTTTGTCCATATTGGAGTACCAAGAATCCTAAGGTGGGGGTTATACCACCCATACGCCATCCACCGAGCAGTACGTCTGCTCTATATACCGTGAGTATATTTTATTCTGTTTTTACATTTTATCAACTATACAGTGAGCACTATATTTTATTCTTTTACCTCGAGATGGACTACTCCACCAAAGTACTCTGCTAAAGAACAAAAGAGAAGCAATGTATATCCTTGAGTGGGGATTATTCCACTACGTGCCATTTACACCAGAGCTGGATATAAGCTCTGAATATTATACTATTCTATATACAATATTATTTTACTGTTCATACTATACCATTGGAGTTTCCCTTGTCTTCTGTTTTTTTCACATATCCATTTTGAAGCTGCGGATATACATCTGGGACTTCACATACCATTTTATGTAGCACTAGGACTACCTCCTGCATATGTGGATTATTTATATTCGGACTTTCTAGGTATCGCTGCTTGGACTCTCTGATACATATTTTTATACATTCATTCTACTTGTCTTAGGCGCACCCTTATTTGTGCTTTTCTCTCCATGCGTAAATGTTTATTCGTGTGGGGCAATTCGTGTCATATTCTGGTCCTCTTAGGGCCGTTCGTTTACTGAATCGTTTTTTTTTCTTTCCCTTTCCTCTCTTCTCTCAATACTAGATGTTAAATTATATTGTGATAGGCACTAGGGCGACCTCTGGTGGCTGGTTATCATTATTGTTTCTCTCTCCTGTTTTGGTTCCACGACCCCTGGTGGTCATTAAGGTTATGACATATGGTATTAATTGCATTTTATTTTTGGTATAACTACTGAATTTGTAAACATATATTATGGCACACAGCTTGTACAATTACCGTATATACTCGAGTATAAGCCGAGTTTTTCGGCACATTTTTTGTGCTGAAAAACCCCAACTCGGCTTATACTCGAGTCAGTGTCTGTATTATGGCAATTTACATTGCCATAATACAGACTGGGGGCTGGCAGCGAGCGCTTACCTCTCCTGCAGCTCCTGTCAGCTCTCTCCTCCTCCACACCGGTCCGGTCAGCACCTCGGTCAGCTCCCAGTGTAAGTCTTGTGAGAGCCGCGGGGTCATAGTGCGGCTTTCGTGAGACTTAGTGTGAGCTGACAGAAGAGCTGCACGGACCGGCGCAGAGGAGGAGAGAGCTGACAGGAGCTGCAGGAGAGGTAAGTAACAGCTCTGCCAGCCCTCCTCCTCTCCCCACTGAACTGCCAATGCCACTGGACCACCAGGGAAGGAGAGCCCCCCTCCCTGCCATGTATCAAGCAGGGAGGGGGGACGAAAAAATAAATAAATTAATAATATATAAATAAAAATAATAATAAACAAAATAATATAACAAAAAAAATCAAATAATATTAATTAATAATATATAAATATAAATAATAATAAAAAAATAATTAAAAAAATTATATAATCCAAAAAATTTAAATAATAAATAATAATATGAAATTTTTTTTTTTTTTTGATAAAAATGCCCACCCCCACCAAGGCTCTGCAACACAAACACACACTGCATCACACACACACACACACACTGCACTCATACACAAACACTGCACTCATACAAACACACTGCACTCATACAAACACACTGCATTCATACACACACACTGCACTCCTATACACACTGCATTTATACACACACTGCGCACTCATACACACACAGTGCATTCATCATATACACACACTGTAAATAAATATTCAATTAATTTAATTTTTTTAGGATCTAATTTTATTTAGAAATTTACCAGTAGCTGCTGCATTTCCCACCCTAGTCTTATACTCGAGTCAATAAGTTTTCCCAGTTTTTTGGGGTAAAATTAGGGGCCTCGGCTTATATTCGGGTCGGCTTATACTCGAGTATATACGGTACATGCTATAGAGGATTTTGATAGCTATAGTGGTGACACTTTTACTTATTAGATATAGTTCTCGAGTCAACAACTTATAATTTATTATTATTATTTATTATTATTTATAGAATATTTTACCAGGAAAGATACATTTAGATTTCTCTCGTTTTCAAGTATGTCCTGGGTCCACAAATCATTGCATTGTTACATTAGGTACAACAAAATACAAAAACAATATTAATACACAATATATACAAAATTTAACATAGAACAGGCAGGAAATATATAATCAACCATGACAAGTGCATTCTGTTTTGAGGTATGTAGAGAGGGATCTCTTAAATTACTTTAGACTTAGGGAAGATTTTAAATTGTGCGGGAGGTCGTTCCACAATTGCGGCGCTCTGTAGGAGAAAGAGGATCGGGCCGCTTTCTTTTTGTATTGAGGTAGACTAAGTAAAGTGCTTGTACTGGATCGGAGCTTATAGAAAGTGGGAACAGCTGGGGAAAGCATTTTGTTCAGGTAGGGTGGGAGTTTCCCAGAAAAGCTCTTAAAAACAAGGCTGGAAAGATGAAGGATGCGTCTGGATTCCAGCGACAGCCAGTTTAGTTCCTTTAGCATGTCACAATGATGGGTCCTGTAATTACATTGTAGCACAAATCGGCAGAACGAGTTATACAATGTGTTGAGTTTATTAATGTGGGATTGCGATGCAGACGCATATACTACATCCCCATAATCAATGATTGGCATCAGCATTTGCTGTACAATCTTTTCCTTTACTGTAGGGCTTAGGCAGGCTTTGTTTCTGTACAGGGCACCTAATTTTGGATAAAGTTTAAATGCAAGCTTTTCTATGTGCAGGCCAAAAGATAGATTGGGGTCTAATATCATACCCAGGTATTTGAAAGAGTGGACTGCGGTCAGTGTGCCATTTGAATTTGTTTTGATGGATAGGTGGAAATTGTGTAATTTGTGTAATTTAGGTACTGTTCCAAAGATCATTGTGACAGTTTTGTCAGTGTTCAGGAAGAGTTTGTTTTTTGCGATCCACATAATACTTTGGCCTACTATATATCTTAGTATTAGTATCAACACATATTAAAGACATATTAGTACAAGCAATGATTAGCCGGTTTTGACGACTATGGACCTCTTATGTTTTCAGTATTCAACATCAATTCCACAGTGGGCTGCTACTCTACCAACTTTTGTAAATTAACATAGGTCAGTAATCACGATTAATTATACCTTATTGGTCACGCAAGACATGGGTCCTTATATGTGTTTTTCTGTATTACTAGGTATAGGCATCCTTGCTCTTTTTGAGTATTTGGTTCCAGTCTCTCGGAATAATTACTGGTAGGTATCGGGATAGCAGGGGACTGAGGGGTACATATTTTAACCCCTCACAAACTCAAAATTACTCTTGTAGGTTGCTACAGATCACCTGTATCATCTTATCATACTATCTTGCAAATTGCTCATCAGGTACGTCATGTTTTCTCGATTATTTCTCCCTATGTACCTACACTTTTTGGGGTAACAGTATAGATACTGGCATACACAATACGAGCCTCTAGGTATGTTTTCTGGCCTTCTACGCCTTTCGTTAGTGGTCCCACGAGGCCAACACCCATCCTCAATACGGCATCCCCTCGGGCCAATTCATAGCTAGCCGCCTCGCTGGGTTGCATAGAGAGGGCCTCACTTGTCACTCCCATTCTGTCTTATGCTTTTACGGAGTCACGGAGAGGCCATCACCCCGCCATAATGCCATTGGCCACGTACCCCACACGAGCCAAATCATATATAGTGCCTCTCAAAGCCGCTTGGCAACTAGTAGGGCCTCACCGGTCACGTACTAAGTAATACTTTTGCCGC